CCACCCCTCAGACCTCGTCCATGGCGTCCGGCATCTCATCCATGGCTGCCATACTGTCGGCCAACAAGAGGCCGGCCGTAAGCGCCGCCTGCTATCAGGTGTCGTCTGTGAACGAAAACACGGCTAAGAAGTTGTGCCGTAAGTCACCCCTCAGTCTCATAGCGCACACGGAGTCCCAGATCATGCGGACATACCCGGCCGGCATGCGGATCGACTCATCCAACTTCAATCCCGTCATCTTCTGGGCCTTTGGGCTCCAGTCGGTTGCCCTCAACTACCAGACCGTCGACTCGGCCCTACATATCAATCACGCGATGTTCGAGCAAAACGGTGGGTGCGGTCTCGTGCCTAAGCCCGCGGTCATGAGGGACAGGCAGCACATGATGTTCGGCCGGTTTAACCCGTGGGACAAGGAGTTTGACGGACTCCACGCCATTAACCTTACGATTACGGTATGTTTGGCTGAATTTAATTATAACTAATATAACTTTTAATTTATAAGCATTTATTTTTTTAAAATGAATTGCAAAAACTATCCAGTATCAAACAAATCCATTGGAAGTATTTTATTAAAATTATTGTAGATACAATATTACAGTTTAATTAATAATTTTCGTAAATATTGATATTAGTTTATCAAAAATAATATGAATTATTTTTATAAACATTTTTATACTTTAAAAGTTTTATTTATGTGTTTATTATGTTATTGATTTTATTTATTTTAGTTATAAATGTTTAAATAATTTTTTAAAAAGTTTTTGGTCTCCGTTTCCAATTCATAATAAAATTATAAACTATTATGTTAAAGTTACAATTATTATAAAATTACAGTATTTACACAATTAATTTTTATTTATTTAATATTTATACATGCATGTTATATACTGCACCCCATTAACCTCACGATTACCGTATTTTTTGGCGCACCGGTAGTTCAGTTATAAATTGTACATTAATTGAATTGGAGCTTATAACTATAGCATTAATTTTAATTATATCTTTTTAAACACATTGATTTACAAAAATGAGATCCAGTATCAATTAAATCAATTATAAGTACTTTATACATGTTTTATTTCCAATAAGATTTAAAAACCAAAAAAGTACCCGAACTTTCCATTATTAATAATAACATTATAACCAATATTATCATGGTAACCTTTATTAAAATATTACAGTTTTGAAATATTTTACATAAACTAATTTCTACATAATGATACAATTTAACATTTCATTTATTAATATTTTACCCCATTTTAGCCCAATTTATGCTAAACTCGTACTATAATTGCAGATAATTTCTGGTCAATACGTTTGCCAAAACACAAACACCGGTAGCCCTCAGGTGGAGGTGGAGGTGATCGGCATTCCCGTCGACTCGAGCCGTCAGCGCACGAAAATGGTTCAGAGGAACTCATTGAACCCCATATGGAACGACACCTTTATGTTTAGGGTAGGCCTCACCCGCACCTATACCCCAATAGCACTTAATCTCATGTCTCATAATCTACTCATCATTTTAGGTAACATTCAGTGATTTAGCGTTTTTGCGGTTTTCGGTCACAGATTTGGGTACAAATCACTTGACGGCCCAACGGGTCATACCATTAAATTGCTTACGACAGGGCTATCGGCACCTGAGGCTCAGGAGCGCACAGAACCAGTCGCTACCCCTGTCCACCATTTTTATATATTCCCAATACGAGGTACGGTTCCCCTTCACTCCGCCCCTCCCTTAATCATTAATCATCTATTGTATTATCTTAATGATTAATTCCTTAATCAGCTTGGTTACTTTTGTTGTGATAATCAGTAATCATTTATTTATACACATTTATAGTTACAAAATATAAACCACAAAATGATTAATTAATTGGTTTTATATAACAGTTATTAATTAAAATTAAAAATTACTTAAAATGTATTGGAGTTACTATCCCACTAATAATAAAACCCATTAGTAGTACATTACAACAAAAATTATAAATAAAACATTACAGTATTCACTAATTATTATTAAATACCTAGAACAGTTTAATCCAAAAGATTTTAGTAATAAAAGTTTACACCAACTGTATATCAAATGTTCTAGTATAATTACATATTACAAAAATAGTTTTTAAATTAATTTTTGGGATAGTAATTGGAAACCTACAAGAATTTTAGCTTAATATTTTAGACATATAATTATATAATTATCCTGATACTTTTACGAGATTTTTTGCTCATTATGTATATAAATAACTTTTAATTAATTACAAAATTTGATGTCTTGTGGGGAACAGGAGGAGGGAATAGACCTACCGGTGGGTACGGGTGCGGAGGACAGCCCAGCGTACGGATCGCTGCAAATGGTGGGCAAACGGAGCCGACGGCCCCCTTCGTCGGCCGACTTCACGCGCCTCGAGTCCCGGGACGTCATCGGCTCGGCTCCCGTCCGGCGTCGTATGTTTTTCCTCGTCATCCACGGCGTGGTGGCCGACGAGCCGTCGACTATACTGAAGATCACTCAGGACTCGACCGCTCAGGACGTCATCGCCCAGGCCTTAGCCAAAGCCAACAAACCCGTGGACACCGCCAACGACTACGTACTCATCGAAGAGGTCCAGAGGGGGTGGGATAGGAAACGGCTGACCGATAGGAACATTACGCAACGCATTCTCGATCCCGGGGAACGACCCCTCGAGGCCCAGTCCCAGTGGAAAGGGGACGGCAGGTGAGTGTCCATCAGTGACCACCACCTATTCATATGACACAAAAATATTTCATGAACAAAAATACAAATACAGTATAGCCAGCTAATTATAAACTATATTATAATAGTAACCATAATTACAAAATTACAGTATTTAACATGAATTACATTATTAGACAAATTATACTCGCATAATAAGTATTACAATTAAATTTATTATTAGCTAAAATTACATAATCACTTACAAATTAGTGAGACATACCTTTCCACTTGACTAACCACTCCATGCTATGATCACACCGTTAGGTTTGTGCTGAAGAAGGTGGCGGACGACCCGTCGTCGAGGGCGTGGATGTCGAGCATAAGGAACGCCCAGAAGGACCGGAATCGGGCCAAAGCCATGGGCGCAGACATGCAGAGCACC